CATCCAAAGGTTTACCAGTTGAGCTAAACTGACACATGCAAAATGTTTAGGTAAACCTGTTTTTAATGAGATCAGCAACTCAGTATTGCTCGCCGATTTAAACCCCAAACCTCTGGTACACTTGCAAAATGTTGTGGTAAACTTGTTTTTAATGAGATCAGTAACTTGGTAATGCTAGTAAGATTTGAACCCCAGACCTCTGGTATCATCACACAAAGGTTTTACTAGTTGAGCTCAACTGACACTTCCAAAAATGTTGTTGTAAATCTTTTTTTAATGAGATCAGTAACTCTGTAGTGCTAGCAGGATTTAAACCCCAAACCTCAGCTATCACCACCCAATGTTTTATCAATTGAGCTCAACTGACACTTCCAAAAAAATTGTGGTAAGCCTATTTTTATTGGGATTAACAACTCGGTAATGCAAGTGGGATTTTAGGCCCAGACCTCTGACATAATCATCCATAGGTTTTACCAGTTGAGCTAGACTAACACTTGCAAAATGTTGGGTAAGCCTATTTTTAATGAGATTCGTAAGCCGATAATGCTAACAGGATTTGAACCCCAAACTTCTAGTAATCATCACCCAAAGGTTTTACCAATTAAGCTTTACTGACACTTGCAAAATTTTGTGGTAAGCTTGTTTTTGCTAAGATCAGTAACTCGATAATGCTAGCGTGATTTGAATCCCATACATCTAGCATCACCACCGATGGTTTTACCAGTTGAGCTCAATTAAAACTTGCAAAAAAAATTATGGTAAGCCTGTTTTTAATGAGATCAAGAACTCGGTAATGCTAGTGGGATTTCAAACCCAGACCTCTAACATCATCACCCAAAGGTTTACCAGTTGTTCTACACTGACACTTACAAAATGTTTTGGTAAATCTGTTTTTAATGATATCAGTAACTCCGTAATGCTTGCAGGATTTGAACCCCAGACCTCTGGTATCATCCCCCAAAGGTTTTACCAATTGAGCTTAACTGACACTTGTACACTTGTAAAAACGTAGTTGTAAGTCTTTTCTTAATGAGATCAGTAATTGATGGCAAGATTTGAACCCCAAACCTCTGGTATCACCACCGTGGGTTTTACGAGTTGAGCTTTATTGACAATTGCAAAATGTTGTGGTAAACTTATTTTTAGTGAGATCAGTAACTCGATAATGCTAGCGGGATTTGAACCCCAGACCTCTGGCATCATCATCCAAAGGTTTTACCAGTTGGGCTACAATGACACTTGGAAAATGTTGTGGTTTGTCTGTTTTTAATGAGATCAGCAACTCCGTAATGCAAGCGTGATTTGTACCTCAAACCTCTCGTATCATAATCCAAGGATTTACCAGTTGAGCTCAACTGA